GCCAGTGTGGCAGTTAGTCACAGTATCATGATTGCAATTGAGGAAATGAACACAGCAAACACAAGAACCCTGCTTTAGTTCCACAGGTAGAAGCAAGGAATTGGAGTGGTGGACGGCTGGAGTATGTGGGAGACAGAGCCAGGTCAATTTCTAAAGGAAACCAAAGCAGAGAAAAGTCTCTGTTCTTCACAGAACAGCATCAGTGTAGGTTCCTGCTAAGGTGATTCGCTGTGTCTTCATGATGGAGATGAAGAGTGGCAACTCTCTCTTGAGAGATAGGCCCCACCGATTCTGGATCCCACTGCTAAAACACGGACAGCTGGCAGCACCGTCTACCCAAGGCATGGCTTACCTGGGCTCTGTGCTATCAGAAACAGAAGTCAGAGGAGACAGAGAGGGATTCCAATCAAGTGCTTCAGCTAGATTCCAAAGGAGACCAGGACAGACATGTGAACAGTGACAGTTTTTGAGGTCCATCCAAGACCTCATTCTCATGTTTCTCAGGACAATCTGCCCTTCCATGTTGGCTTTACCCATAAGTGCGTGACTCATTTTAGTGATTTATTGCCTGAATCTGGGGCCTAGGACAGCATCCAGAGTTTTACAGCTCTCCATGGCCCCGGGTTGGCAATAGCACTGGCTGGATATATTTTGTTTTTCCAAATTCCACCTGTGTCTGGTAAAGCAGTGACACCCCCCCCACCCTTAAGGTTATTATCCTGGTTGCACTCATATATAGAATTTGACTGTGGAGTTGGAGTCAGTTCTAGGATAAGCTCATGTGTTCAATGGCCCCATCTGGGGGAACGAGGATCCTGGTAAGTAAGTGTGGGAAGCCTTGCTACATTCCAGGGAGAAGCCTGGTTCAGGAGACAGAAAGACAAGACACAGTCTTGTATGTGTTTCAGGACAACATAGGCCTTTGCCCTAAGGATCCTGATTTGTCAGCCTGTTGGCCTAGGACAGCCAAGGAATGACTATGCCTGCACTTGTATGACTCTGGGAGACCATTCTGGTGGGTTTAGGCAGGACAAACAAACTGGGCTGTGTGGAAACCTTTAAGAGGCAACCATGATCTTGTTTTAGGTAGGCAGGACCTACAGCTCATTGTACATCCCCCTGCAGAGTCCAGGTAGCTCTTGGCAGGGTAGAGCTATTGGAGCCCAAGGAGGAGGATTTGGAGCCCAGGGAGGATTTGGAGGGTTCCTGTGTATATGGTCTCTGGGAACAGTCCTTTGGTGGGAAGGGTCTCTAGGTGTACTCAGCTAGGGCAGGAGTGATAGGTGACTGGGCCATAGGAGCTCATTCTCTGAGACACTGCAAGAAAGCCTGAGCTCAACAGAGAAAGAAGAATACCTGGAACACTCCCTGGACCCTCTTAAATTCCAGCATTCAACTTCTGGCTAGAAGGACTCAGCCCCAAAGGATGGGAGTGGAGGATTTGTGGGAGGGCAGCAGGCACTCACTAGGTGGTCTGAGATCAAATCAGGAATACCCTAGGGACCCAGGCATGGGCTATGTGGTACTTTGAATAAGAGTGGTCCCCATTGGATCATATTTGAGTGCTTAGTCATCAGGGGTGGCACTATTTGAGAAGGCTTGTTGAAGTGGGTGTGGCCTTGTTGGAGGAAGTATGTCACAGGGTGTGGACTTTTAAGTTTCAAAAGCCCAAGCCAGAGACCCACATTGGAGCACTGGACTGAGCTCCCAAAGTCCAAATGAGGAGCAGAAGGAGGGAGAACATGAGCAAGGAAGTCAGGACCACAAGGGTTGCATCCACCCACTGAGACGGTGGGACTGATCTAATGGGAGCTCACCAAGGCCAGCTGGACTGGGAGTGATAGAGCATGTGATCAAACTGGACCCTCTGAATGTGGCTGGCAATGAGGGCTGACTGAGAAGCCAAGGACAATGGCACTGGGTTTTGATTCTACTGCATGAACTGACTTTGTGGGAGCCTGGTTTGTTTAGATGCTCACCTTTGTAGACCTGGATGAAGGGGAGAGGACCTTGGACTTCCCACGGGGCAAGGAACCCTGACTGCTCTTAGGACTGGAGAGCAAGGGGGAGGTGGGGAGGAGGAGGGGGAAAGGGAGGCGGGGAGGAGGTGGAAATTTTTAATTAAAAAAAAAAAAGCCCAAGCCAGGCCCAGTCTCTCTCTCTCTCTCTCTCTCTCTCTCTCTCTCTCTCTCTCTCTCTCTCTCTCTCTCTCCATGTAGAACTCTCAGCTACTACTGCAGTGCTATGTCTACCTGCATGGCACCATGCTCCCTGCCATGATGATAATGAACCATCCTCTGAAATTCTAAGCCTCCACTTAAATGCTTTCCTATATAAGAGTTTCTATCTGTCGTTGTGTCTCTTTGAAGCCACAGAACAGTGATTAAGACAGGTCACGGGGGAGTTTTTGTGGTGGCAACTTCTGGAAACCTTGGAACCAAAGCCCGAGTAGCTTTTCATCCCAGACTTTATAACCAGAAGGGTTTTCAAAGGTGACACATATGGTCACAGAATTTCCTGGTGGAGTTTATCCAAATGTTCTCTCACACTTTGAGAATGAAGCCTAGTACAGTATGCCAGACTCAAGTATAGAAAGTCTCCTGAGAACATTCCAAGCTACAGACCAGTGTTCTCAACCTTCCTAGTACTAAAACCTTTAATATAATTCCTCATGTTGTGATGACTCCCAACCATAAAATTATTCTTATTGCTACTTCATAACTGCAATTTTGCTAATGTTATATGAGTTGTAATGTAAATATCAGATATGCAGAATATTTGATATGTGACACCCAAAGGGGTTGTAACCACGGATTGGAAGTGAGGCTGTAGACCATTACGGCTAGGAAGCCACAGTTTACATTCTTCAAATTTTAATTGTGTAAAATTTTAAAATTAGCTACACAAATTCACAGACCAGGTACTATATGCTAGATGCTATTATTGACACTGAGAACAGTAAGTGAAAAAACAGGTCCCTGTTTTCAGATTCCTGCACTCAATGGTCAAATAACCAAGTCTACTTGGTGAATTCCAGGCCATTAAGAGACCCTGTCTCATTTCTTAATGAGGTGACAGATCTGAGAAAAGCCAGGGAGCTTAGGGCAGTCTGAATGAGAACGGCTTTCGCGGGTACCCTGAACATAGGTAGGAGGGTAGAGCGAGTCAGAGAGTAAGGGAGATACAAGTGCAACCACACAGAATTGCTTTTGCTCACTCTGAATGAGTTTTTCCCAGCTGAGTACAGGAGCTGGGGTGGGTCTTGTCTGTCTTTAAAGATGAGATACAATGTTTCATGTGCTAGAATGAGGCCTTGATAGAGTAGATGAAGGCAGGAGGTCTGAACCTAGCCTGGAGGGCCAGGAGGAAGTTTGAACTGAACCACAAGCTTTGAGTTCTCAGTAGCTAGGTGTTTCTTACAACTATGAGGCTGGGTAGTAAAGCCCAGAGGAGTGAGTATTACAGAGAAGGCACTGTCAAGGGCTGAGCCTTGTAGATATCTCCTCGGCCCCATTTAATGCATCACCACTTCCCATGTACCCATGTTTGATGTGTTGGACCTTAGCTTATAGGAAGGCATTTCCTTAGCTATCTGAATGGTGGTTTTTTCCTCTCCCAGAGCTGACTCAAGCAGGAGCCATGCCTTTGCTGGTGACTATTCCTGGACACTCAGAGCATCTTGGTGGTCAGCTAAATCTTTAGAAAGTGAGCAGCTGCGGGACTGAAGGTCACAAGATTCCTTCCTGTATCTGTTTCCGCTTATTTCACAAGGAAAAGAATGTGAGAAATACTGTTTATTGGCATTTGGTGGATCAAAATATGAAAAACAGTTTTATAACCTTACTAAAATTCATGACACTGATTGAGCTAACATAAAAATTCTATTAGTAATGTCATGGGCCAGTGAGGTGGCTCAGCAGGTAAAGGCACGTGCCACCAAGCCTGATGACCTGCGTGTGGTCCCCTGAACCCACAAGGAGGAAGAAGAAAACCCAATGCTGCCAGTTGCCCTCTGACCCCCACAAGTTTTTACTACCTTCCTACCCCTACATGCAAATGTGCATACATAGTGAACAAATAAATGCAATTTTAAAAACTGAAAAACTAAAAAAAGGCATTTTCTTATATAAGTTTGGAAATAACATTTTAAATGAAAGCGTTTATCTGCTTTTTATTTTATGACTTCAATGTGACTTGCTATTTCTTGCAAAATCCACTGTTTCTGTAACTCTATCACTGACAACAGTATTGCAGAATTAGGACATGAATAAACCCTGATTACATCTGACTCAGCAGAATGCTTGCTCCCATCCCTGACAAGAGGGTGCTGCTCTGATCTGAATGCTGGGTGCTCTTCCTACATAAGCTGATGAATTCCAGGGAGGACAAGAGGGAATCATGTTGGAATGCCTTTCGTTAGAGATATACAATGTGCATGCTATTACTGCACAGGTGATGGCTTCCAAACACTAGAAGAAATGCATTCTGAACTTAAAATGATGGCTATCGCCACAATCCATTTTAAGTCCAGTCTGCATCATTCATATTTCCCTTTACTTTGTAGGTAAGTAAAATAAGCATCCCCACTCAGACTTGCATCATTTGCTAACTTCTGTAATATAAATTCTCCTGATAAGGTAAATTATAAGCTATCACCTGCAGCTACTGAGCAAGGAGTTGAGAGATACAGAGCAGAATACATTTTTGCTTAGCTTGATGCAATTTCAGAAAATGGTAATAGAAAAAAGTGGTAAAGAGTTGGAGAGATGGCTCATCAGTTAAGGGCACTGGCTGCTTTCCCAGAGGTCCTGAGTTCAATTCCCAGCAACCACATGGCAGTTAACAACTGTCTATAATGGGGTCTGATGCTTTCATTTGGCTTACAAGCATACATGCAGATAGAGCACTCATGCATAAAATACATTCATAAATATTTTTTTTAAAAAAAGAGTGAACGGAAATGTGTGGTAAAATAGAAAGTGACTTGCTTTAAGTATGTGTTACCGATATTTTAATATAATTTATTTAGTCATAGGTTTATCTAACTTATTTTCACCTGGGCATGGGCAGCTTCATCAAGACTTCAACCTCTGAAGATTCCTTCAGGATGATGTTTCTTGGTGTGACTCTTCTGATTCAGACTTCCTACCTGTTTCAGGCAAGGAAGAAGGTGAGTTCCAACTCCCAAAATAGGATGTCCAGAACCACTACAATGCAAGCCTTTATGAGAGGCACACTTCCCAGTATGCACTTTTCTGAGAGGGGGGAGGGAGAAAGAAGGGAGGGCAGCTGCATGTGGTAGAACTGGTAGGTTTGGGTGAGTATCTCCTCTGGAGTCATGGACATTATGAGACCACAAGGCCCTTCTGGGGCACAAATCTAGGCCTACATTGGGAAAATCATGGTTGTCTTACTGAACTTACAGGTTGAGTGACTGATGGGGTTCTCAAGGGATCAGACTGAATGAAGTATAATATGTACTTGAGTGGTTACAGGAGGGTCCAAAGAGCCAAAATATGCCATGATTCCAGTCATGGTTTCTGTTCACTTATGATAGTAATGATAGATAGATAGATAGATAGATAGATAGATAGATAGATAGATAGATAGACAGACTACTTAATTTTAAAAAGTTAACAAAACTTTTTTTAGTTTTGTTTTCGAGACAGGGTTTCTTTGTGTAACAGCTCTGGCTGTCTTGGAACTCGCTCTGTAGACCAGGCTGGCCTCAAATTCACAGAGATCACAGAGATTCACCTGCTTCTGCCTCTCAAGTTCTGGGATTAAAGGTGTGCACCACCATGCCCAGCTTAACAAAAGTTTTTTCTTTTCAATGCTTTACTGAAGAAGATAAATGATTGATAGCATTCATAATTGAACAATGCAGACTAAAGCCACAGTGAGATGCCATCTATGGATGCCAGACTGGCCAAAATACCAGGGAAGCTAACATCATCCTAGGTTGCCAAGAATGCAGATTCTTAGAATGGCATGGGGGAATGAAAAGTTTTTTTGGTAAACAATCTTTTGGTTTCTTTAAGATAAGGATAAATGTGTGATGGAGCCCAGCCATACCACTCCCATTACACACCTAAGGAGGTGGAAATATGCTCATAATGACTTCAACCTGCATGATACCGCTTTTTCATAGTATCTCAGTCACCCCATAGGAAAAGCTGGAATGTCCGTCATGTTGTGAATAGATAAACACTTTTTCGTAGAATTGTATTTAATGATAAGAACAAACAATCTGGGCTGGAGAGATGGCTCAGAGGTTAGAGCACTGGCTGCTTTTCCAGAGGCCCTGAGTTCAATTCCCAGCAACCATGGTGGCTCATAACCATCCATAATGAAATCTGGTGCCCTCTTCTGGTCTGGTCTGCAGACATGCATCAGACAGAACACTGTATACATAATAAATAAATAAATCTTCTTTTTAAAAAAGAATAAACAATTCATTGTTCGTGCAAGAGTATGAATAAATCTGAAAGGCACTGAAACCAGAAAATATTGCCCACTGCATGAGTCCGTGCATACGAAATGCTGTAATAAAAACTATTGTGCACTGCTGAATGGTGATGGTGCACACCTTTAATCCCAGCAATTGGGAGGCAGAGGCAGGCAGATCTTTGTGAGTTTGAGGTCATCCTGGTCTACAAAACAAGTTCTAGGACAGCCAGGGCTTCACAGAGAAACCCTGTCTCGAAAACAAACAAACAAATAAATAAAACAAAAAACTCTAAGGCATGGACCTGGAACGGGAGAACGCTGAGAAGGCTAACTTTTGCAGATGCTGGAAGAGTACTGAATCATGAAGTGGTTGTTTGTATAAATGTATGCAATCGTTCAAACTCATGGGACTATACAGTTAAAAATCAGTGGTTCTTATTGTTCATAATTTAACCTCAGCGCCTAAAAGGGGAAAAAGTAAAGGCAGTATTACTCACAACCCAGCAATTTCATTCTCAGGTTACTCAACTGCAGTCTCAATGATTCAGGACACACAATTATTTCCAAACTAGCAGCAACATGATGTTTATTGCCGTGAAATGGAGAAACTACAGGGCTTCATAACCAGCAATGAGTGAGCTATAGCTGAGTACAGCATTATGAACACACTTCACAAACATATATAGAACAAAAGGAGCCAGACATAGATTCACTGAACAAAGCTAAATAAACAATAAAACAAAAACAAAACCAAGCTAAGCCAACTACAATAGCTAGGAATGAGCCCCTCCTAACAAATATCTAAACAAATGCAGGAAAACAGGACTGGTGGGCTGACAGGCTCTGGGCTGCATCCCCAGGCTCTTCAGTCTCGTACCTTAGATGAAGCTAGATAAATGCTTAGTTAAATGTCATGAAGATGTCACATGACTTTAATATTTTCTATGATTCTATTCTGTAAAACATGAGCTTTAAAAATAATAAACAAGGTTACACCCACCTCTGAGAACTCATGAGGCTCATGGGGTGTTTTGCATAGAGATACCTGTACTGTCTATCTGAAGAGACAGGTTAACCATGGCTATTCCTGGGAAAATGGGGTGAGGAGAACAATGAAAATTTCAGTTATTTGGCTAGTAGGATGTGTGAACCTCAGAACTCATGAGGTAGAAATACAACCCCAAAGTCATATGTCCATGGGGTGTGGTGGGACATTTGGGATGTAATTATTTGAGTGGTTTTGTCATAGAAGGGGCTCTTTGGTTGCTCTATCTTGCCATGTGATGTCCCACACTATGGCATAGTACAGCACAAGGACTTCACAGTGGCAAGCACCTCTGGAACTGTGAACTAAATAAATCTTTGTTCTGGTATTCCATTATAGTTAAAGACATAGGTTGTAAAATAAAGAACAAAATACTTTTAAAAGTGGTAGAGTAGAAAAAAATAAGAGCTCAAATAATTGAATCAATCTTCTAGGAGGTGCAGTTTTAAATGCTAGTAAACATGTATATATTAAAATAAGACTCAAAGGTGATAGGAAAATATTTCTTAAGACGTAATTGCTGTTGTATTTCTGCTGTGTCTTTTCTGGGATCAGCACTTTTCAGTGTGGGACAATGATAACCGCCCCTGGAGGCTGCCAGACCCGCCCAGGCTCTGTGGGAACTTGTTCAGTAGCTGCTGATGTCGGGATTCCTCTACAGTCTGCTCTCTCTCTCTCTCTCTCTCTCTCTCTCTCTCTCTCCTTCCTCTCCCTCTCTCTCTTTTTCTTTCTGGAGTTGCTCTCCTCCCTGCCTGAGTCCACCAGGTCACTTGACTAGACTACAGCTACCCTGGGTCTCCTCCTTGGCATAAATGGGAAATTAAGCGGACTCTGGAAGCGGAGATTGAAGCGGGCTCATAGTAGATCATGGTGAGCTCTTCCTTGGTGAAAGGATCCTGACATAAAGCAACTCAGTCTGCTCTAAAATCCTACATGGGTAAGTTCCAATGTCACTCTTAGTTTAGATGTCATGGGGCCGCAGACTGTCCCTCCCACTCTCTGCTGACTCCATGCTGGGCAGAAACTGCAGGGTGATGTAAGTGGTCCCGGTATGCTGAAGTACGGAGAGAGTTGCTCTAGTTCTTCCAGATTCCAGCAGAGCTCCTCGATACACACCCGGATGCTCTCCTGCAATCTTGTGGTGCCCTTGCCCTTAGTATAGAGCTGAATTGGTTGAGCTTATTCTCCTCAGTGGAGTTCCCCTCTCCCTGCAGCTGCCCAGTTAGGTTCTCTGAGCGACTTTCTTATTCCCAATGCTGAAGAGACAACTGTATTCCAGCTCCTGCACCTGTGCTTCAGGCCGAACCACATCAACGTTTACTGAACCACAGACATGCAAACATTCAAGCAGATGGAACTGAACTGCCCTTCCCCTGCTATCTCCAGCCCACCTGGTAGGGAACACATATTTGTACTACAGGGAAATCCTGTGCTATGGGGATCCTCTATAGGGGCTGGAGTTCGGAAGGCAGCTGGAGGGCGATGGCCTGTGCACAGAGCCCCGGGGTTTCAGGCCCAATGCCAGCAGTCACTGATAAACTCACGGAAAGCCCATCTGAGGATAACAGAGGACCTACCTCACTGCTTGTGTGGAGTGAATAAAAGAAGGTTCTTGAAAGCTTTCGATACAACACTGGATCAGACAGGTTTCCGACAAAACCGAGTCAATTAAGAAATATGACGATAAATTTTGAGAAATGAAGAAGCAGTGTCAGGTGAGGATCGTCATAGCGTGTGAATATGTCCTAGGAGTGGGAACATCATGGACAAGGGCCCTGTGGTGAGTTTGGGAAATGTGAAGTTTGATGGAGGGGTGGTAGCGCCCATCTAGAGGAGGAGCAACCCAGAACAGAACTGCTTCCAATGAGTCCTCTGATGGTAGAAGAAATCCCCATAGCCCCGCTCAATTCTTTGACCTTAAGGTCGGAGTTCACCCTGCATAGAGGAGGTGTCCTCAATCCCTTCCTCTCCAAGCCCAGCCTTTTGCAAGGATGGGGAGCAGAGGGAGCTCTGCAACATGCAGCAGCTCCAAATCTCGTTTCCCTGGAAACTGGAAGAACCATTGGAAGTTTGCACTGAGCTCTGCTCCCAAGCGTGGGCGCCACGATCCTTACGCACGCAGGCTCGCGGAGCCTCCTGGGCCACTCGCCAAGCTCACCGAGGCAGGGTTGCGTCTTTGCTTTCTGGCAAGTCATCATTTACCAGGCGCAGGATCAGTAGGATGCTGTTTCAAATTCTGCTCCGCCTGCTAAAAATACACAGAGGCTGGTTCGCTCTTTCTGAAGCTATGGGCCGAATTGAAACCCACGCAAACGTCCGGGAGTCTTTGGAAGGCCTCCATACTCCCACCAGCAAGTGGTTTCTAAGAGGGTGGGCGAGAACCCCGGTGCTGCCTCGGTCACATGGGCGCAGCTTCCCCAGGCAATACAGTTCTTGGTTTTGTGGGGAGGTCCTTTAGCAATAAATAGGAAAGTCCCTGGGCCTTTGACGGACCAGAACCTTCCATAAGGTCGACGCGCAGGCGCGTTCTCTCCACCGCGTCCCGCTCCCCACGCCTGGACCCCGCTTCTCCACCCCAGCCTCAGGCACAGCCACCGCAAGCCGCGGTTCGGAGCTACGCAGTCGGCCTGAATCACCCACACCCGGGACTGCGGGCCAGGGCGGGGCTGCCGGAGGCCTCAGGGGTCCCTGTACGGATTTGAGCTACCACAACACTCTCCCTTGCGCACTTGAGCGCAGGTCAAATTCGTTCACCTGCGTGTGAGGAAATTTTCTGCCAGATCTGGAGATGGGACTGGACCCAAAGCTGAACTCACCTGAGGTTCTCCCCCAGACGTCATCCCGGCCTTGCTGGCCTTACTCCGTGGCTGGATTCTCGGAGAGAAATCTCCAGCTAGTTCTCTCGCACACCCTATTCACAACCCCCAAGCACCTACAATACTCTTCACACATCTCAAGGTAACACACCTTCTGCACATACACCACTAACACACACACACCACACTTCCCCGCACTGCAAGTCTGGACACCGCACACACTACACTGCACTCTCGGAATACATACCGTTCCCCACACCACACAACACATACGCGCACCACTCTCCCATACCCCATACTATAAGGCCTATGCATACTCCTCATACATGCCCACAATACACACCTCTACATGCCAACACTTCCCTTCGTCCTCCATCCTCGAATACCCTGCTCACCCTCCTCTATTCCTTCTGGACATTTCCCCCTTCTCCCTTTCCTCGCCCAGGCTCTCCCTTATACCCACCCCTAATTGCTGAAATCCCCTGCTAACTTCTTGGAGCTTCCGGGTCCAGTCAGGTGGGCGTGGAGACTAGCCGCCAAGCGGATGGGGGAAAGCAAACGCAGGGCTTCCAGAGGTGGGAGGTCCTGGGGGTGGGGCCCAGGGGGTCCCTGGAGAAGAAGGCCCGGGTGGAGTGGCGTTCCGAAGGCGGTGGGCGCTGGACAGTGACATTGACAGGGGGAGGACAGGAAGGCGGAGACTTGGCGAGGGGCCCTTTCCTAGGGGAGGGCCGGAGGGGAGTCCTAGGGGCCCGAGGGTCGGGAGGGGGCCGCGGAGGGTGGTGTCAGGGCGAGGCGCGCGGCCCCCCCCACCCGCGGCTCCGCGCGCC